TGATGCCTTTGTGATTGATAAATGTAATCTGGGTAAAGCAAAGGATGTGTTGAAGTTTGGTAGTGAGATTGGTGAATGGAGGTGGTCTGATAAATTCAATTTTCCCAGCAAGGCATTTTGTAAGCAACCCAGTATTCTATGTGATATAACTGAATATGAAAATAAAACGGGTGATGTCAAGGATGAATGGAACACTGATGAAATCATTGATGAGCATATTTTGAATAATAAAAGGTTGCTTATCCAAGCAGAGTTTGCAGGTTCAGGCAAGAGTTATATATGTAAGCATCTGAAAAATAGAAATTACAGAGTTTTATTCGTTGTTCATAGCAATGAGTTAGGGCAACAGTGCGGTTGTGAATGGGCGACCATCAATAAGTTTTTTAGTATTTCTTTTGGCGATGAGAGGCTTACAAAGTTTGATTATTCAGTTTATGATGTCATAGTGTTTGATGAGATATATTTTCATAATGTAGGCAAGTGGGCTTTAATATGGGACTTCTGTAAGAACAACCCTGATAAAATAATAGTGGCAACTGGAGACACTAACCAGTTGAAAAACCCAGAGAGGGTAAGCAATGTAATGTCATTTGAGAAATATGCTAATCATTGTATTAATTTGATTTTTGAAAATAATATTATGCTATATGAATGTAAGAGATTGAAGACTGAAGAAGATAGACACAAATTAAGAGATGTCAAAAGAATGATTTTTGAAGGCACACCTTTTAAAGAAATCATTGATAAACATTTTAAATGGACTGATAAGATAGAAATGTATGAGAATAATATTGCTTATACAAACAACACCTGTAAAATGGTTTCAAGCAAAATCAGAGAAATGAAAAATATAACTGAAGAATATGTGATAAATGAGGAGGTGATATGTAGAAAATATATTAAGACTAAAGGCAAGAAATTTAATGTGAATTTCAGATTTAGGATTGCAAATATTGTTGGTGATATTGTTGTTTTACAAAATGTGGCAACTGGTGAGAAGCAAAATATAGAACTGAAATTATTGAGAAAGCATTTTATATATGCTTACTGCTACACCGCTCATTCAAAGCAGGGCTGTAGTGTTGATGGTGATATAGTGATATATGATTGGAATGAATGGTATGTTAGTAAGAATTGGTTTTTCACCGCCCTTACAAGGGCAACATACTTTAACAAAATCAAGTTTTTCAAATATAATGAAGGTCAAGAAAGTAAATCTAAAAGGATAGTAGAGCAGTATTTTGAGAGAAAGGTTTTTAATTACATTGAGCAAGACAAGAAAGCAGGTAGAGATGTAGAAGGAAATGATTATGTTGATGTAGATTTTTTGATGAACCTGATGAATACCCAGTGTGAGAATTGTAATGAACCGTTGGTGATAGATTTTGAAGATGGCAGGATTTCATCAAATATAACCCGTCAAAGAGTTAATTGTTGTGAAGCTCACTTTAAAGATAATTGTAAAGGTTATTGTGTGTCTTGTAATTGCGCTTTGTCAAATAAAATATCATTATAAATATAATGGCTGATAATAAGCAGAAGATTATTAGTGATATTTATTTTGATAGAAGTGGCTATGGAAGCAAGGCTACTACTTTAAAAGATGCCAGAGAGAAAGAACCGACAATAAAAATGTCAGATGTTGAACAATTCTTTAAAAAGAATGTAGAAATAAAAGCAAAGCCAAGAGGTCATAATTCCTTCATAGCACCACATAATTTTCACACATTCCAGATAGATTTGTTCTTTGTGGGTTATTATGATTTTGATGAAGAACAAAAATATAGAGGTGGGTTAGTGTGTATTGATGTTTTAAGCAAGTTTGCGGTGGTAGTTCCAATTAAAACAAAAAATGGTGAGGATGTCCTTGAGGCAACTAAAGAGGCATTAAAGAAAATGGGTAAGAAAAGTAAAATAATTTACACTGATGATGAACGTGCCATAGCAGGTGAAGACTTTAAAAAATATGTGGAAGGTGAAGGTATTGAGTTGTATAGAACAAGAGGTCATCCCGCTTTTGCTGAGCGTTTCATAAAACCGTATAAGGATATGCTTTTCAAAAGAGTTGAAGCTGATGAAAAAGCTGAAAAGCAGAATATACAGTGGACAGACTACAATTTAGAAATTATGCTCACATATAATGATAAGATGAAACACTCCGCCACAGGTATGACACCTAATCAAGCAAGGAAGGATAAAAATGAATTCAGGGCAATGCTGAATGTAGCATCAAAGGCAAAGAAGGAAAAAATCTATCCTGAGTTGAATGTTGGTGATAGGGTAAAGATTAAGAGAAAGAAAGCAATTACAGAGAAAGAAAGAACTTCCCACTGGCTGAAAGGTTATTATGTTGTGCAAGAGATTGCAGAAAAGTTGAACCAAAAATATTACAAACTGACTGATTACCCAAGATTGTTGATGAGGCACGAACTTTTAAAGATTTAGTGTTTTTAGAAAGCCTTAAGCATTTGTTTTTCTTACTTATGCCTATACTTGATGCAACCATGAGATGGTTGATTTGATGTGCTCTTTTGGTTTCGGGGTTTCGTGTTTTGCCTTTCATTTGTTTTCCCCACGAATTTGCATTTGGCAAGTTTGGGTCATTGGCTGGGATTGCTCCATGTTCCTTTGTCCTTCCTCGCCTTGGCTTTGTCATCAATCTCTTCTTCATCCTGTTGTCGGGGCGCTGAGTTGTTGGGAATATGCCAGTCAGAGGTTTGAAGCCACATGTTCTTGGAGAGCTTGACCTTGGAATTTGTTTCAATTTGAGCACCTTTAACATTCTCAATTGGAAAACTACAGAAATTAGCTCTTTCAGTTTGCGCTTGGAATTTTGTGTCATTCTTCAGCATCTTTTGCTCAAACCACTCGGGCACGCTTTTAAGCTTGGGGGCATGGGCACGTCCAGAACATGGCGCAAATCCGTGTTGTCGCTTGCCTCATCATCCTTGCATTGAGCGCTGGAGCTGCAGACACCAACAGCACAGGCAATATGGATGCCGGCAACAAAAGTTTATCAAACTTAAGGAAAAGTCTGACCAAAACAGGGTGTCAGAAAGGCTGGCACTGTTGCAGGGCTTGTATTTTCTGTTGCAAGGGATAGTTATCACTTTCATCACGCCAGTGACTCGCTCGCCAATTTTGGCGACGAAGAAAGTGCATGAGAACGCTTGCTTCGCCAACAGGGCGACTTGCAAAACAGTGCTCTGAGCAGGTCCTTTGCGATTGAAAAGGTCTGCATGCACAGTATATAGGTAAGCATTGTTTCAATAGAGCATGTATGCCAGTGAGCCTTCACAAGCTTGACATCCAGTGCAGTCACGATTCACGCCTTATCAAAAAGCAAAACCTTCCAGATACTTGAGAAGACTGGCACAAACAAGTATGGACACACACACACAATCCTTTTCACTCCATTTCGCCCCAAAAGTTTGGATTGCTGTGCCATTTACATCGCACTGAGGTTAAGAAGACATGGTCATCAACAAGTTCATGAAGGGCGGTTTGGGCATGGTAATTGCGGTAATTAAAGAGATATGTTGAGAAAGATATTGGCTGGGGGCTGAGGCTTCCCCTATAGGGGGAGACTGTGGTAATTAATCCCTTAATCTTCATAGTAAATGATTATGAAAATTATGTTGGTTATCCCCATAAATTTGAAGTGATGATTATGAAATTCAAACTCAAAATTACAAGAGGCACACAAACACTTTGAAGCATGAGGAGAATTTGAAGAAGAATGATAGTTAAATTTCTTTTTATAAAAGTGAAATTGTCTTTTGTTTTGGTTTGTTGTTATGGTTTTTGGTATAGTCTTTTGCTTTCTTTTTGTTGTTTGTTGTTCTGATTTATGTTATTGTTTTATAATAATTTAGGGAAAAAGGATTTAAAGGGAAAGTATCTATATATATATATATTAGGTGAATTATGGAGGATACAAAAAAATGTTCCAAATGTAGAAAGGTAAAGCCCTTTGGAGAATATAAACAGTGTCAGACTTGTTTAGAGTATTGCAGGTTATATTCAAAAAATAATCCCGAAAAAAGAAGAGAATGGGCAAAAGAAAATGCTGAAAAAACAAAAGAGGATAAACAGGTAAAAGTATATTGTGATGATTGTAAAATTGAAATTCAAAAAGGCAGTTGGTCAAAACATATTCGTTCAAGGGAACACCTTTCAAATATTGGTAAAGATGACAAAGAGGAATTTGAAAAGATAAAATGGATGAAGTGCCCTGTATGTGATGATTATGATATTCAACTTAAAAACTACAAAAGGCATACAACAACAATGAAACATCAGGAGAATTTGAAGAAGAAGGAAAGTTAGATTTTATCTTATGAAAAATATTTATAAGATGAAATTTGTTTGGCTGTTATGTTTTTTTGAGGGTGTAGGCTGGTGGAATTTATGTTATATTAATCTGGGCGGGTCAGGGAAAAAGACGGGGGAGCACAATGCTAACTAACGTTAGTTAGACTGTTGCTCCCCCGTCTTTCTCATCTAACCGCCCACATTATTATACAAGCAAATTCTATGGGGTTAATACCAAAGACAGGGGAGCAACACCTTATAGAAAACAATAACATAAATCAAAACAACAAACAACAAAGCATCTGGATAACTGGAAGAAACAGCAAACATAAATTTCATTTTATAATTTCAAAATTATAAAAGTGAAATTGTTTTTTGTTATGATTTATGGTATAGTCTTTTTTATAATCTATTGTAGTGTTAGTGTTTAGGTTGTTTGAGTTTTCTTGTTTTGTTGTTTGTTGTTTTGATTTATGTTATTGTTTTCTATAAGGTGTTGCTCCCCTGTCTTTGGTATTAACCCCATAGAATTTGCTTGTATAATAATGTGGGCGGTTAGATGAGAAAGACGGGGGAGCAACAGTCTAACTTATATACATATGATATAACTATATTATAACTATATATAACTATATTTATCTTCGATTTCACTGGACCAGCATTGATTACATCCCCAAATTTGCCAGGTGGGCCTGGAGACTTTGACAGATAAGGCCCCGGATGAGGCAGCTGGACATCCGATGGTTTGGGGATGAAGATCTCCAGCTCCAAGTGATGTTGGGTTCCTTTTTTTTTTCGGATGACTGACCTTTTTTTATGATATGTCAGTCACTTCATATCTTGATCATAAAAAATGAATAAAAATGATCAGCTGCTTGATATATCTTGATATTGACATCTTATTTTTTCTGGTATCCTCTCGTATCCTCTGATGTTCGTGCTGTGATCACCTGCGCGCAGCGTGACGGATTTTTTGTTGTCTCCGGATGAAGTCTGGTTCCACTGAAGCTGGGAAAAGCTACCTGGGTCCAAGCTCAGCTGTCTGGCATACACCACCTCCCCAACTAACATAGACTCATAGACCCTGAAAATCACCAATTGTTTAGAGAAAAGTAGTCTTCCAAGCTCCTATTTGGGAGGGTCCATATTCATCTTGGGGGGATAGTTAGTAGATTCAACGGAATTTCTGGTCAACGGAAGCTTCACTCGCGGCAGGTGAGATTCTAATCAGCCAGCCATGTTTTGAGTGTCAAAAGTACATTGCCAGCCAGCCATTTGCCCCACCTAAGCGTATTAGGAGACCATTTCAAAAACTGGCCTCAGAGATCAGATCTGGGCGATATGATTTGTATAGATATATGATATATGGCTGAACCCAAAAATGTCCAGATATGATATTTCTGCGTGTGTGTGTGTATATATGAGCAGGGACCCCCACACCCCTCCCCCCCCCAGCCAGATGGTTCCCCCCCCCCCCTGGGGCGGGGGGGGGGGGTTTTCTCAGCAGCCAAGCCTGTATATGTGGTATATTGAATATCGACAGCAATACACGCGGTATATCTAGAGTTTATGTATATATATATATATGTATAATATATATATGTATAATATATATATGTATATATATATATGCACATATATATGTATATATATATATATATACGTGTACAGTATGTACAATGCAAACGAAATATGTGATAGATACAAGATCAAGATATCAATATGTAGTATCTAGAATGTGCATATATATATATATTGTATATATATATTGTTTTTCTACTGTACATATGTCTAGGTTTGCATAGGTAAGCTTTGCGTAGTCCATGGGTAGCAAATATGTTGTAAACCATGTGCAAGGCACGCTATAGGCGGTTCGAAAAAAAGGTTATGATAGAAATATACGGGTAGACAAGGTCCGTTGACGAGGTCGTAGCTCTCAAGTGCTGCAAATAACGTAGAGATGCGAGGTTGCAGGGGTGGAAAGGGGAGTATATATGTGTATATGTGTATGTATATGTGCAAATAACATGCAAATACTAGGTTTTGGATGGTTTTGGGGGGGTGGGGGGGTTAGGAGTGGTGGGGGGATACCATTGGGGGGGAGGGGGGGGGTGTGGGGGTCCGGGGACCGGGCTCATATATATATATATATTATTATATATACATATATATTATACACACATACATACATAGGGTCATTTGGTGTTTTGCAGCACCGCTGCCGGGCTTTCCCAGGTGCTTCCGGCCCTGAAGGAACTTCTCTTGAGAGGTCCCTCTGCTGGGGATAAACCTTGGAATATTGGCTCAAGATTCTACCCCAAAATGGGATGTTTTAGCACCAAACAATTGCAAATCTTGGGGGTCAATTAGTATCACATTTTTCAAGCCAGACCTACATCCCAATAGATCCCAACATTACTTCGCTTGCTAATCTTTCTGGTATCTTCACTGGTCACCATCTAAAGAGGTACCAAAAAGTGAAACAGACAAGAGGATTGGAACTGGTCCAAACACTAGCGGAATGGGACATTTTTCGGGGAGACCAACAGGAAAGTCTTGTAAGTGATGATGCAGTGAGTTCCATCGTTTCCACGGAAACACTTGTAGACCACAGTCAAAACCTGCATGCAGTTGGAAGACCGGCCACAGTTGAATTCCGATGTTTACAACCTGTTTGAATTCCGATTGATGTAAACTCTGAAGGAACATTTGCAGGACACGTTTTCTTTTAAAGGGCAAATCTCGGGTTTTCCTGTAAAATGCCACCATTTTCTGGAGCCCCCAGGGAATCCCTATCATTCTCACACCTTGGTAGGTGCTCTACAACCTCTGATGGAGGATGGGTCCTGGAACGCACTGATTGGTGCCAAGAAGCTCTCGAACAAGCAGGAGAGTTGATGGTTTTTGCTGGGTTGGCTTCCAAGATGACTCTGATGAATCATAAGGGGTTCAGAAAAGAAGTTCGCCTTTCTGTTGACATTCAAGTCACCTTACAATACAAAGATAAACACCATCTCTTCAGGTCTCTTGCACTTCTTAAAGCGCCATACATGCCCTGATCGGCTGAACTTATGCGCAACCAGCGTCATTGCGCCACCTCGAAATTTTGGTCAGTGTTTGAACCCCATCCTGATCCCCAACGACTTGTACAGAAGCCTTTGTGACACCAATGAGACACATGTTCTGGCGTTTTTGTTCTACTTTTTTTATGTTCCATCCTGTTGCAATTGTCCCATCTGACATAATATGTATAATTGTACCAGTAGTACCCGCACGAGGCGGGGCGGAAGTTGCCTTAAAGATATAAGACCTTTCTCATCTATAGAACTTGCATGCGCCGTGCGCCAGCCAAGCCCGTGCGTGCGTGCACTCTGCGAAAGTTGTGTCCTGCTTCACATGTCACATGTGAAGCTCCACTTCGCACTTCACACTCCACACTTCACACTTCACACTGCATTCTTCGCACTCCACACTTCACACTTCACACTGCACTCTTCGCACTCCAAACTTCACACTCCACACTTCACACTTCTCACTTCTCACTCCACACTTCACACTCCACGCTTTACACTCCACGCTTCACACTTCTCACTGCTTTCTTCAGACTCCACACTTCATACTTCACACTTTACACGTCACAGTCCACACTTCACACTTCTCATTGCTTTCTTCACACTCCCCACACTTCTTCACTCCACAGAGAAGCTTTTACACACAGCAAGCTTTCACACACAGCAAGCATTTACACACAGAACACTTACACACAGTGCTTTTTACACATGGCAAGCGCTTACACACACACACAGAAACTTTTACACAGAGAAGCTTTTACACACAGCAAACTTTTACACACAAAACTTTTACACACAGCAAGCTTTCACACACAGCAAGCGTTTACACACAGTACTTGCACACAGTGCTTTTACACATGGCAAGCGTTTACACACAGAACACTTACACACAGTGCTTTTACACATGGCAAGCGTTTACACACACACAAAAAAAAACTTTTACACAGAGACACTTTTAACACATGCACAGATAAGCTTTTACACACAGCAAACTTTTACACTGCAACATCTTTTACACACAGCAAGCTTTCACACACAGCAAGCGTTTAGACACAGAACACTTACACACAGTACTTGCACACAGTGCTTTTACACATGGCAAGCGTTTACACACAAACTTTTCCACACAGGAAAGCAGCTCCAAAACCGGATCTCGACGCCAAAGCAGAAAAAAGACGATTTTGAAGCACTTTTTAAAAGGGATTTTAAAAGGAAAATTACTAGCGCCAAAATTGCGAAAATCTGCTGACAAATCACTATCGCAGCCTGGATGCAGCCACTCCAATACGATTTACAATCTTCAGCTGCAAAAGACAATAGTATTACGCATGCAGCCGCGGCGGCAAGCAACCTTTAGGCAGCCACTCCAATGCGATCTGCAGAGACTGAGTTGCAAATCACAATAGAACTAAGCGCAACGGCGTCGGAAATTGCAGCTCCACGCCAAAGCAGAAAAAAGACGATTTTGAAGCATTTTTTAAAAGGAATTTTAAAAGGAAAATTACTAGCGCCAAAATTGCGAAAATCTGCTGACAAATGACTATCGCAGCCTGGATGCAGCCACTCCAATACGATTTACAATCTTCAGCTGCAAAAGACAATAGTATTACGCATGCAGCCGCGGCGGCAAGCAACATTGACGCAGCCATTCCAATGCGATCTGCAAGCACAGATTCCAAAACACCCTATAACTACGCACACACAAGCACACCCAAAGCAGCTTGAAGCCACCGTTACAATGCGGCAAAAAAAAAGGCAAACCGACCGCAGCCGCACCCGCCGCACAGACGAGGTACCTTTCATCGCCGGCTGCAGCCACTTTACACGGAAAAACACAAGGTTTCGTGCTCCGGCTTCCTCCCCAAAACAAAGCCCTTGCAACATCATGCAGCCATTCCAATGCGATCTGCAAGCACAGATTCCAAAACACCCTATAACTACGCACACACAAGCACACCCAAAGCAGCTTGAAGCCACCGTTACACTGCGGCCAAAAAAAACGATAAACCGACCGCAGCCGCACCCGCCGCACAGACGAGGTACCTTTCATCGTCGCCTGCAGCCACTTTACACGGAAAAACACAAGGTTTCGTGCTCCGGCTTCCTCCCCAAAACAAAGCCCTTGCAACATCATGCAGCCATTCCAATGCGATCTGCAAGCACAGATTCCAAAACACCCTATAACTACGCACACACAAGCACACCCAAAGCAGCTTGAAGCCACCGTTACACTGCGGCAAAAAAAAAACGATAAACCGACCGCAGCCGCAACCGCCGCACAGACGAGGTACCTTCCATCGTCGCCTGCAGCCACTTTACACGGAAAAACACAAGGTTTCGTGCTCCGGCTTCCTCCCCAAAACAGAGCCCATGCAAGATCATGCAGCCATTCCAATGCGATCTGCAACCACAGATTCCAAAACACCCTATAACTACGCACACACAAGCACACCCAAAGCAGCTTGAAGCCACCGTGACACTGCGGCAAAAAAAAAAACGATAAACCGACCGCAGCCGCAACCGTCGCACACACGAGGTACCTTTCATCGTCGCCTGCAGCCACTTTACACGGAAAAACACAAGGTTTCGTGCTCCGGCTTCCTCCCCAAAACAGAGCCCTTGCAACATCATGCACCACTCCCCTTCATGGTTGCCAGTTCCCTTCCTCACCACTCCCCTTCATCATCACTTCCCTTCCTCTCCACTTCCCTTCGTCACCACTTCCCTTCCTCACCACTTCCCTTCGTCACCACTCCCCTTCATCATCACTTCCCTTCTTTACCGCTTCCCTTCGTCACCACTTCCCTTCCTCACCACTTCCCTTCGTCACCACTCCTTCATCATCACTTCCCTTCTTCACCGCTTCCCTTCGTCACCACTTCCCTTCTTCACCACTTCCCTTCCTCACCACTTCCCTTCGTCACCACTCCCCTTCATCATCACTTCCCTTCTTCACCACTTCCCTTCGTCACCACTTGCCTTCCTCACCACTTCCCTTCCTCACCACTTCCCTTCGTCACCACTTCCCTTCGTCACCACTTCCCTTCGTCACCACCCGTCATTAACTGCTTCTTATTCTTTTGTTATGTATTGTTATGTGATCTACCACCCTGCATCATTTCAAGTCGCAGAATTCTATTTGTCCGTAACACGGAAGTATTGCTTCCCAACTTCCTTTGATAATATATATATATAGATAGATGCACATAATAGTAGTAATCAGAATGATAATAAATACTAATAAATAATAATCATACATAATCATAATAATAATACTAATAATAATATATACAAATATAATATCAACATTTGTATTTCCAGTGGCTCTTTTCGCCCAGGAGATGTTGGGTCGGCGCTTGGAAAACAACCTCCGGGGGCTCTGCTCCACCATCAATGGCGTCGGCACCAGTCGCCCCAGGTGCGCGGGCAGGTGAATGATACCGGCGGTGCTGCCCTCCCAGTGATCTTTGTTGGTTAACCACAGTAACTAATGTGGGTAAAGCAATAATGAACCATCCCCCAGTCATCACCATTTGTATAGGTGGTATGTAAAAACCATTCCCAAATTTGTGGTTTATTATTGTTTTACCCACATTAATTCGATATATCTACCATAAAACATTTTTAAACCCACTGTATAGTGAACATCGGGTAGTGGAAACCCCCCAAATTTAGGAAATCATCTAGTAAGTTAATCCAAAAATAGTACTATTCAATGGGGATTTCTATGTCACTATCAATCATGATAATTCCCCAATCTATGATGAATATTGGGTAGTTCAATCCCCATCAAACCCGAGGTCTTCATATCAATTGCTTCTAGCAACGGAATTTCTCCATCGCCTCTATCACACTAGCCACGTATTGATATTGTATATATATTCTATTCCAAGATGCACTAGCTACCCATTCTTATGGCATGTGGTGCCGCATGTTTTTTCTAGTATGTAATTTTGCAATTGCACGTCATTGCTTGTAGTTGTTTGCAAGCCTCACAGGAAAAGTTTAGTTCTGCAACGCAAGTCTGTAGATGCCAGTGATTCATGACAGCATATGAAAACCTTTGCTGATGTGAACTCTATGTTTATGCTCTAAACAAAAATGGTTTGACGCCACTTCTAGTCACAAAACACTGTAAATACCAATATATTTGACTATTCTCAATACACACATCACTCCCCCATGAGGGGCCGTTCTGTAGAAGTAACCTCAAGTGCATCCAAGTAACCAAGTAGGTGAACATAAAATGAAATGCACGCGGTGGTTGATTTTTGGCTAGAACTAGAGGCAAGAACTATCAAATAGATTCAAAGAACTCTGGCTAAAGCCAAATATCAGCCAAGTAGCCTGAGTTTTTCTGATGGAAAGGGACACTAATTTTCATCCCACAGCTTTTCAGCAGTGGGTCGTCAGGGGAACATGTCTGTCAACAATGAGTCACAATTGGCTATTGCCTCCACGAACAAGTTTAATTTCGGTCTGTTACCCTCCGGTAATTTAACATAGCTCTGCAAAATTGTGTGTTCTATGATTTACCTACCACAGATGGTGATTTTCCAGAACTTTGTAACAAATTACCAGAGGGTATCATCTGTTTTATTCCCAGTACATCCCCATATTTCGTTATAGTCCTATCCCAATCGCTATGAATTTCCATTGGTCCAATCACCATGAATTTCAATCACCATGGAAAAACCCATGGAACAGTACCATCAGTAGCTCTCATTAATTCAGGTCACCTGAGGATGCCTTGTTTTTCCTGGTGACCATTGAGTACATGGTCCGCGTTTGCAATCGCCTCTGTTGTGCACTGGAGACGCTTGGCCCGCTTGGCGCGGCATCGGGGCATCGTGCTAAAGCTGGTGCTAAAGCTGCCAGTGGTTGAAGCTTCATGAAAGAAGCAACCGCACATGGTAAAGTTACTATATATATATAATTATATACATGTATATATACTGTATATATATAATAATGATACAAATTTGAGTTGACCATATTTTGACTTAAACATCTATGACCATATTATATACCATGTCCATCCATTTCCCGATGAAACTGGTCTTCCAGATTCATTGGATCCCCCAGCGATGGCTGACCACCATACCCGGTGGCTGACCAGACCCCTGGCCACCACCTATGGTGTAGTATGAATATGTATGCAATATATATATAGATACCTATGTACATGTACATGTATGTGTATGTGTATGTGTTATATGTTATTTGTTTTATGTTATATGTTATATGATGTTATATGTTTTATATTATATGTGATATGTGATATGTGATATGTGATATGTGTATGTGTATGTGATTGTATGTGTATGTGTATGTGATTGTATGTGTATGTGTATATGTATGTGTATCTATGTATGTATGTATGTATGTAATGTAATGTAATGTAGTGTAGTGTAGTGTAATGTAATGTAATATATGTAATGTAAGTATGTATGTATGTATGTATGTATGTATGTATGTATGTATGTATGTATGTATGTATGTATGTATGTATGTATGTATGTATGTATGTATGTATGTATGTATGTATGTATGTATGTATGTACACGTACAATATATATATATATCAACTTCAGGAGGAACAAAGTTTATGCTTCTTGAAAGCTTGACCGAACATCCATCTCGGTCAACCGCGGATCACATTTCCAAGTCCATTTCGTGTGGCAGGTGTGGGACGGTCAACTATCACCCGCTTTTAAACCTATAAGATTAAACGCTTTTTGAGGGTGGAAATTCGACCGGGGTACGACAAAGCTCCATGCTAGGATTCTAAGGGGAAAGGGTATGCAGAAGAAGAAACCAAACATGTTCACGGGCGGAAGCTCAACAAGCGCAACTTTTGTCCTACCAGTGTATATACACACATGGCTCAACAATTGAGCGTTAACTTTGTCAATCCACCAGATACATGATATGCATGTACATGTACACGCACATAGGTTTCCGACATATTAAACAAATATATACGTATAATAAATATGTTTGCAATGCAAGACAAAGTAGTGCAATGTCATGTATTATAATGTAAATTCCTGCTGTCTCACGCTATGTATGACTAACCCATTCCCCCCCATTTTTTTCAGCTTCCCCAAGGTGCCCCATGCAGCTCCCAGGATAACCCCTGTGGAGGAGTTCGATGAGGAAACGACGGCAAAAGGCTGGCGGATTCTGCCTGGAGAGGACACCAACTGTCGCGAACTGGACCAGTTGCAGTTGGAACTGGTCCTACCTGCTGAGAAGGCCAGATATAGATATAGATGGGGATGGTGGGGGATAGTTTTTGTATGTTTTTGTTCGTGATCTCGGGTAATAGAGGTGACTCAGGTGGTGTAAAAACATCTGAATGGACTCTATATCTAATGACTCTAGTGGTTTCAACTATTTTTCTCACCATTTGGGATGATTCCAAGTGACCTGCATGCAGGTGGCCTCACATCGTGGCTCCTTGGCCAGTATCTTGGAGGAAGAGGACCCCGAAGCCAAGGACCTCGAAGCCAAGGACCTCGAAGCCAAGGACCTCGAAGTGAGCCTCGAAGCCAAGGACCTCGAAGCCAATCAGAAGGAGCAAGGGTGGACCGGGGCTGCTACGAGGCAGTTTGCCCACTGTAAATGGTAATGAAAAAACAGGAAACATATGGCTCCAATACCGTTTTGACCTCCGAAGTCGGAAGATTTCGAAAAGTGACCAGCCTTCTGCGGTTTTTCTTGTGTGCTATTAAGAGCCATGCCGGTATTTTGCAGGGTATAAGTCCAGAATCAGGTTGATACACCCCACTGGCAATCCTACTGACACTTTTTCGGAGCTTTAGAATTCTTTTGACCCATATAGTGAAGGGAAGAATCCAAAAACGGGGAAATTTGAGCCTCCCAGATTAGGATGTGTCCATAAATAGACCCTACAAATAGCTGTGTTCCAGACGTTGCGCTCCAGGAAGTGGAACGCTACGAGCTGATTTCGCCTGTGCAGTTGCTGGATAATGTGGCTCGGAGGATAGGTCGAGATGTAGTCCGTGGCAGTTTTATACCCTCAGCATCAATTTCTAGCAACAAAATCAAAACATGTTGGTTTTTAAGCCATTACGCAACCATTTTCCCCATTTCTTGTAGAATGGTGTAGTGATAATTAACGTCCATTAACGTCCAGTAAATCCTAGAATAAGTTTCCCTCTTTGTTTGCCAGCTTCCAACCATCGCCAAAAGCCTGGGGGTTCTGGTCTCTGGATATCTGAGGCGGTCAGCCCCACACCCAGTTCGCGCCGCAACTCGAGCTTGGTGGGACGGAAGGGGTTGACCTGTTGCTTCAAAGCCGCAGGCACGGTGGGACGGTGGGACGGGGTCATTGGCAATTGGGCGTGGATGGTGCGGTCGGCTAAAATCGAAGTTTGGATGGTCTGAATTCCGATGCCCAAAACAAACCCTGAAGGTCATGGCTTGCATGAACTGCAGCGACTACAAAACCTAATCAACATCTTCTATTTGAGGTCCAAAACTGTCAGACCTGACCATGCCTGGAAGTCCTCCAGAAACCACCAAAGTGGCTTGAAGATAGGTGCACACGGATCCATTTTGCAGGCTTCTTATCATCTTTGCACCATGGCTTGCTGTAGATCAACTTAGTTGGATTGGCCTCCAAGATGGGATCTTTGAAACGACATTTCCAGATCCACAAAATGACCCCGGGGGTTCCCCGCTTGAGGCGGTCATTTGCTGTGTTTTCTTTTTGATCTCACAGCTGCCATGGCTCACCAGGAGATGGAAAGCTGGTTGAAGTGCAAGTTCACAGAGAAGAAGGAGTGATACAGGAGAAACTTGGCCCCCGAAACGTGGGATGGAAGCCAAAAAAATGGGTCTGCAAGATGATTGTCCGAACTTGGACATACATAGCAATTTGTGGCTTTCATCTTAAATTAGTCAGTGTAGACTGCGAAAGTGAGGACATGAGTAACCGACAAAATCAGCGGAAGACTAAAGTAGTAGGGAGTAGACTTGGGATGTTCAAGTTTGTGTGAAAACCTTCACAACTGATAGAGGACCACCCACTTACCAATACCCTATTTTTATACATAGCATGGAAGTACAGACCTTCACAACCGATAGGGGACCCACTTTGGCCACGCCTGCGGCATCAAATCTTTGGGGTATCATGGAGATTCAAGTGGGAAACGGGAAACATGGAGATAATTGTGGCGATAAAACAAAGATTGAAATGGGAGTATAAACCAACAATCAGAGATAAACTGTATATACATTATGTATGGGGATATTGATATAATGCGAATATATCCAGCAATCTGATATTTGGGTATGTCTGAACATGGGGTCAAAATTTATAGCTGTTCAACGATGGCGAAAATGATGCGGAACCAATCCAATTGTTGTGGTCAGTAATTCCGAAATATTTTTTTTTTGTTGGTTACTGTCGGGTAATCAAACATGGCAATTGAACATCTACCTACAAATGGAGGTGTTACCCTCTGGTAATTTAACGTAGCTATTGAAAATGGCCATTTATAGTGGATTTACCTATTAAAAATGGTGATTTTCCATATTTATAGTGGTTTTACCCATTAAAAATGGTGATTTTCCATAGTTTTTTGTATGTTTACCAGAGGCTAATGGGAACATCGTCGAAGAAAATGGTGGATGTTCCACTGCTGATGGAAAAGCCTCCATTTTTCACCGATGATTCACCAAAATCATGGGATAAACGGCATGATTTCTTCCATCAAAAGATAGTAACCTCCCTATAAACTGCATAATCATTAAGATGTTGATTTTTACATCTTTATGTATATTTTTTGGAATCTATCTGCAGGATTCCGCAACCATCCACAGTATGGTTTGATTACCAGGTGCTAAATCCAGCATTTGTCGTCCTAGGCACTGTCATCAAGCCTGGCCGGACCTTCACAGCTCGCAGTTTGGAAGTCACACCAGCCACTGGAGCAGAAGTTGGAAACCAAACATGTGACTTCATCCAGCTATGAATCCATCCAATTATAATCCATAAATGTAGAGCCCAAGTATTTTGCAGCCTCCAAAATCAAATTACTTCGTGAACTTCGTGGGGGTGGTACCGTAGTACCTGAACATTTTGAGGGAAACTGAGTAAATCTTGATGGTTGAGAACATCATTTGTCCTATTTGCAACAGTCATAACTGGAGGGGTCAAAAACCATCAGCAATGGGGCTTAATCATCCAGAATGATGGATTAAGCTGTGTGCTGAACCGATGTTAACCCTGCAGCGAACTGAAATAGGTATAGATATTAATCTGGCTTTTCCCAGGAAAGAATCTAGCACTGGCATATTTTCCATATCAGTGCGAATTTACTGAAAAATAACCTGGAGGGATCTGGAGGGCAACCCTGCTTGCAGAGGGACACCTTTCAGAGGTTATGAGTCCAATCTCCCGGAGGAATCAGCCAGAATTTGTCAATCCCTGGCTTTGACTATGAGGCTAGCTCCAAGTTTTTTTTTTGAGGGTTTGAGCGACCTCAACACTTGTCAGAGTTTGGTGGCTTTCCCTCGGCGCATCAGGTGTTCTTCAAAGCAAACTTCATGGTGGTTATGAAACTCTCAACTCTTTGATATTTTTGTCAACCCACATGGCCCGCAAAATGCTGAAAGATGCCAAGTGAATTTCCAAAATTTGAATGCCTTGTAGTGAATTCCCGCAGTTTTGCAAGTTACTGTAACAGCCATGGAAAATGGTTCACTAATAGATTTAAACACATTTCAATGGTGATTTTCCATAGCTATTTTCGTCCATTATGTGGGATGGTCATCCCCCCATTGGGGGTATATTTTCTAAATCATCTATAAATAGGGCCTAATTAAACTCAACTATACCCATCATCATACATTGTCATCATTCATTGACATCAATGAACTAAATGTATGCCCATCATTATCATCAGCAATTACATATATATATATATATCCTGAAGTCATTATATCTTATCATTATCATCATGAATTATACCATAATTCTATCCTGAAGTCATCCTGAATGGGGCCCCAAGGTCAGATTACGCTCTTCGTGAGTCATTGGTTGGTGAACCGTGCCTCCTGTAGCGTGGTGATTCCGCACCCCCGGTGGCCCGGCTTTTGCGCGCGCGCAAGTTGCGGCGCTTGGAGTTGTTTAGAGGATTTATCTATCAATATAATTAGCAAATCTCAATAAATACATGTATATATATATGTATATATAAAAACTATGTATATATACACATACGGATGCAATTGAGCATTCAACGTGGCCTTTGAGGGAATTGGAGATGCACAATGATTAGCCAACGGCGAGGATAGATTGTTGATTCAACAATACCCCTGAGCGCCAAAAAACCACGACGGCCGACGGCAAAGCGGTTCAGGTAGATCTAACCAATGTGTGACGTTCTGACTTTCTGGCCTAAACGTGTGGTGATCCTGAATGAACTTGCAGACTTAGAACATTAAAAACTTGTTCCAGGCCAACTTTCCAGCATACTCAACCAGCCATTGACATTCTTTCCCAGGACGTATCTGCTGGGAATCAACGGTAGCAATGGAACCCCTCCCATGACGAGTTTACTGTTAAGCATGGCGATTTTGCATTGCCACGCTTGATTGCCGGAAGGTAACCTCCAACATTGCTGGTCATGTTTGCATTTTGGGGTTAGGTCAAAACCACTTAAGCAGAATAGTTAGAATGCCATTTTTTCCTTTCCCAATTTCTTACAATGTTTTCCAATGTTTTCCCCATTCTTTCGCTGTGTTTCCCAATGTTTTCCACATTTGGAGATTTCCTAAAATAGGGCTACCCCCAAATCATCTACATTTTAATAGGATTTTCCATGATAAACCATCCATTGATAGGGCTACCCCCATATGGAAACTCGAAATCGCCGAGGCCGGTGGCGGGCCTCAGCCGCCGCGGCCACACGGCGGAGGAGCCGCTGATGATCATCCCGGGGCACAGCGGCTCGGAGCTGATGAGTTGGGTTTAAGGTGTGATTTATGGTGGATGTATGTTTAACTTATGGTTTATGTATGGGCTATATGGTTGGATGTAAACCCCACCCCATAAGGTGGATGTAAACTATATGGTTTAAGTATGTTTAACTTATGGTGGACACAGATTTTGGCAGTAAAAAATGTAAAAAGGTGCGCGAACACAGAGAATGTGAGGGATCGGAGTGAACACAGATTGGACACTTCATTGAGGTTGGCAAAGAGAGACACACAGGCATAATGGAAACTTAATGTCTGGAGATTTTGTAGGCTACATGACTCAAAGCAGCACACTGAACTCCAACAGCCTAGAAGATCCAAGAATTTCCAAGGGGAGGCCAACAGCGACTAGTTCAATTCAGTCGCCTTTGTTCATCTGTAACTGGGATCATGAAACCTTTCCCTAGCAATGGGCAACTGTCGAAACGATGATATGACATCCAATATTTCTGCAGGTTCTATTGCCCAAGAATGGTTTTCAAATTTTGATTTTCAACTGATTCAGAATTTCTACTGTTCCTGACAGATGCCCATGTCTATTTTTGTGGAAAAAAAACAATTCCAGGGACCCCGAGAAATTTCACCATTTCCCGAAGCCATCTGATTGGAAGCACTAGGAACGTTCATTCAGAAACATTATCGGTCCTGTCACACTACAATACAAAATAGTATCAAATAGTAATCACCTACTATTCGCCGCCACCTATTCACTGACTATTTCTATTACGAATCTACAACTATCAATAGTATAGTCACTACCTATTTATTAGCCACCCCCTAATTAGCTCTAATTTAAATGTATTTATATAAGTAATTAGTTTAGTTACAATTACTAGTACTTAGCCACCCCCAATAATGAGTAATGGATGTAATAGCAATATTCATCATCGCAATATATCATTCTCCATTAATATCCCCCTCATAGTCCTTGAATAATAACAATTAAAAATTATCCTCTTGTCCGCTATAATCACCTGATCATGAAAAACATCATTCAATCATATTCCATTAACAACCGTGTTATCCATTGTAATATCATGTAATATACCTGTAATTATTCATCATGATTTCATCAACCATTGTATCCTTATTCTCCACGATTTCTATTCATAGTCCCCATTAACATCCTTATTGTCGACTATTCGTAAACACCATTCATATTCCATTCCATTTTCATACACAGAATATTCCATCTAATCTTCCACACATACATACCATACCATACCGTACCATACCATACCATACGATACGATACCATACCATACCATACCATACATTACATACATTACATACATTACATACATCACATACATCACTTACATCACAAACATCGCATACATTACATACATTACATACATTACATACATTACATACATTACATACATTACATTACTTACATTACTTACATTACTTTACTTTACTTTACTTTTACTTTTGCATTACATTACATTACATACACATATATATATAATACGTAATATAGATATAATATATAATATATAATATATAATATATAATATATAATATATAATATATAATATATAATATAATATATAATATATAATATAATATAATATATATATAGTATACATATAATATATAATATATATAGTATACATATAATATATATATATAATAAAATTATATACGTATATTCCCTAAGAATGTTTGTTTCATTTCACCACCCATCTCCCCACGGCCTCCTGCAGGTCTGAGGCCGCTGTCCCAGCATGCGCTGCAGGATGGAACGCTGGAAATCGGCCTCCGGGCGGCGGCGTCGGAAACCGCAGGCGCGCCGCGAACGGGCGGCCGGGGACGACTGAACCTGGTGGCGAGGACATTTTTGAACCGGACATGTTTCGGGGGAAAAATGAAAAAAGGGGAAACATGGGGAAATCATTGGAAATATGATGAAATTTGATGAAACATATATAGTAATATTATATATATAATATATATATATACATCTAGGAAAACATAGAGGAACAGAGAATTATATATAGAGAAAACTATAAGGAAAGTGTGTCTTGGGATCACCTGCCCAAAATCACCCGAGAATGGTTTGTTTGAGGTGGGCCATTCCCTAGTGCCACCATACCTGGGCATCATATTGATCGACTTTCCAGGTCGGTTCAAGCGATATGCTGGGAATTGTTGGGATCTCTCTCTCTCTCTCTACAAATATATATATATACACACATACATTACATGACATGACATGACATGACGTTACGTTACATTACATTATATATATATACGCTGTGTGTGACAGCGGGGAAAAAACTTCCAAAACACGAATGGAAAAGTGAGACGGAGAAACTTTCGAGTCACGGTGCGCTGCCAAAGCGAGCCCCAAGCAGTAGAAGTTCGTGCCATGCAACAATCGCTTTCTTGGTCTCAGAATTGGGGCCTCAAATTTGGAGCCTGAAGTGTCTTCCGCAAAGAGCGCGGTCTTGTTTTTGTGACCAAAATTGTTTTCAAATTTTCGGGCCCCAAAAGCATGTTTGCGAGAGTGGTATTGCGAACACAGCAGGGGGGTGGTAACATGGCAAGATATTATAGAAGCAAAGGATGCACCGATGGACCAATGCATAATGTTGAGGTGTGCCTGGAACACTTGAAGCCATGCTACTGTATGGTTACATATTATAAATATAAATACATAGATAAATACATACATAGATAATACATATATATATATATTATAGATGCTACTTTGTGCAAGGAATTGGGGAAGGCGTCAGAAGACGATGTTGCTCCAGCTTCAACTTGTGATAACTTGTGTATATTTATGGCATAGTCTACGTCTACTTTTCTGATCGTTTCTGTCGCAGCTGTCACAGGCGGCAGCCCGAGCCTCTTGCGCACCACCACCTTGCGCCAGCGACGGAATCTCTTGAGCGCCAAAAAGACCACGAAGACAGGGAACATCAAAGTGGATCGTCCTGGCAAAGGTTTCTTGGAGTCGGATATGGAGGTGACACGGGGTTTATAGTTTCAATTGACCTGAAAAAGGCGGGACAAAAAATGAGGGATATAGAAATTATGTTTCTCCAACTAGAACTTCAGAGCACTTGGAGATTTGGGGTTCAGAAACAAAAAACAGATGGAAGTTCGAACCAAAATATAAAAATATGGGTGTTACAGTAATTCAAGATGGGGTTCAATATATTTGCATGTTGATTAAGGATTGGGTTTCAATACCAAAAAAATACAGATGGGGTTTGGAGCAAGTAATTGGGGTTTCAATTCTCATAAAAAGAACAGCAACAACTAGGAGAATTCCCAAAAAGAACAAGACCTGGTGTCAAAATCACATCCGGAATGGAGATCAATAATCGTAATTTGGATAAAGCCGTTGAACAATCCCTGTTTCCATGTATATACGTATATATATACATAATATCTGTACACATATATATATATATACACACGATTCTATATATGTATATATCAATTGATACATATCTATAGATGGTAAATACTGTAAATCAAAGAGGGGATTTCGATCACAAAATCTACAGATGTGCATTGGCAAAGATCCCTGGAGGTGAAATGGGATTTCAAAGCCTCAGATTGGGACTATGTCCCATTCAACTGGGAATATTTCATGTCACCAAGATTTAACATGTCACATCTGTCACCAAGACTTAACGGTGGTACTTCGACCCAATAAATGTTTAGACCTTTTTTTTTTATTCGTGCGCAATCATTTCGGCGAACTCACGAGCAGCAATTAGAATAGTTCTGTGCCAAATTAAAGTGGCTAGTGGTTTCAATACATACTTGTGGGGGATTTGACACTGATATCACCAAGCATATATTGCAATGCATAACCGAGAAGATGTGGGTAACGTTCCACTGGAGTGGCCAGTTGGCTGGGGGTTGTTGTCGCTTACAGGATAACAACTGACAATTCGTAGTTTGGAGATTGAACTGAACTCAGCCAGCTGGATATGGGTCCCCAAATCGAAACAGACATTTCTTTGGTGAAGGTCAGGCAGACATTTTGGGCCCAGCAAAACAAGACCACCAAGTACAGAAGATTCATGCCCCTCAGGTAGACAATCCATAGGTAATCTGAATACCATCACTCAGGTTGTTTGGGACTAGCCAGACTTGAGTTTTCTTAGGAGACCGGGCAAAGGCCAAACAAACAAAACGGTTGGTATTATTATAGCCCATCCCATCTGGGGATGCACATGCATGGATGTTTGGAGCATCCTTTTACAGGACATTTTGATGGAACATGTGGCCAAAATATGTTGCTGCGCCAAGATATTGCGCCTGCCACTCATTGATGTACTGCGCCTGCCACGTGACTTGTCTTAAGTCCTTAAGATGTTGCGCCTGCCACTCATTGATGCTTTGCGCCTGCCTATCTATATCATAGAAAATCATAGAAAATCATAGAAAATCATAGAAAATCAGTACAATCAATATCATAGATCATAATTATAATCAAGTGGACTATCAGTAGATTTCCATGATATGTAGGGAAGGGCATACCAAAAAATACATCACCACGTCATCAATCACTACTTGGGGGGTCGCTAAAGGGGGAAGGAAGGGTCTGGGTGAGAAACCCTTAAGAAAACCCAATGAGAATCTAGGATTTACATCATCGAAATAGTGATTCAGCGATGCCTGTTCGACACAGTTTCGGAGCTGAACGTTCGGCTCCGTAACTCGACTAGCCAGGCTGAGGTTGTTGAGAAAAAATCACCTGTGTAGGTCCCTCCCAACTTGTTTGGAACTAGAAGTGAGGAAGCTGATCATCACCAATTCGGAGCTGAACGTTCGGCTCTGAATTAGTGACTTGCAGTGTGCGTTGAAACCTTGTTTGGAGTTTTCAGGGTGTGCAGTTTGGTCTGACCCAGACTCTCCAACATTCCTACCTTCCCCTTTAGCGACCCCCCAAGTAGTGATTGATGACGTGGTGATGTATTTTTTGGTATGCCCTTCCCCCCATACTTACATATCATGGAAATCTACTGATAGTCCACTTGATTATAATTATGATCTATGATATTGATTGTGATTTTCTATGATTTTCTATGATTTTCTATGATTTTCTATGATATAGATAGGCAGGCGCAAAGCATCAATGAGTGGCAGGCGCAACATCTTAAGAACTTAAGACAAGTCACGTGGCAGGCGCAGTACATCAATGAGTGGCAGGCGCAATATCTTGGCGCAGCAACATATTTTGGCCACATGTTCCATCAAAATGTCCTGCAAAAGGATGCTCCAAACATCCATGCATGTGCATCCCCAGATGGGATGGGCTATAATATATAATACCAACCGTTTTGTTTGTTTGGCCTTTGCCCGGTCTCCTAAGAAAACTCAAGCAGATGTGGCTTCAACTTTCTGTACCTGACAACTCTCTGGATTCCAATCCAAAATTCTTCCACTTAGGTTTGGAGGGTGTGGTGAGTTTTGGTCATTTTCCTGTTTCACAGGGCCCACGGCCCCCCAAAACGCCACGGCGCCCAGGTGGCGTTTTGCCATCCTTGGCCCTGGGGGATAGCTCCGCCGGCACTTTGTGTGTGGGTTTCTCGGTGAACCAGGCGCCCTTCCCCTTCTATCGCACCTTAGTGGCGCCTTGGTGAAAAAAGCCGGCCATGGGCTCAGCCGAGAAACTCGGGGTCCCAAACGTGGCCCCAAAAACCCGTTCTTAGGCTATGTCTATAACAATTGTAATGCATTTAGTTGTATGCAGTCACTGCAGTCACAGTCTTTTTCCATTCGCAAATGAATTTTGGACTATTTTGGACTACCTGATGGGTGAGCAAACGCAATTTGGTGTTCATAGGCCCCAATCATGAAATGTGGTCTCCCAGAACTGGATTTTTAGAGGGCTATAGTCACATAGTTTTACCCTGCAATGAGTAGGCAAAACGGCAATTTACCTATGTTTTTTTCTGTAATTGTTCCCTTTAGTATGGAAAACCAATCGAATGATGTTGCTGTTGCTGACCCAAAGGAGGATGGCCACCCAAACCCAAACTTTGACCATTTAACCAATGAAACGTGGACAAACATTGAGCAGCGCTTCTCTCAAGCATGAAAGGATTTACATAGGCAATATACAACAATTGAACAGCCTTTTCTTCCGCGTAGCAGTAGGCTTAAAAGCCTACGCGGCGTAGGCTTTGCGTGGCTCTACGTAGGTCCTTTGTGCAAACAATTCCCCCCATTTTTTTCCAAAAACCAAGAGATCTTCCAAATTTCCCATCCCTCCAAGCATTTAGTCAACAGATCTTCCAAATACCTCCAAACATATTGTTCCAGAATGTTCCAGAATATTCCAACTCATCATGAAATCCCTAGGTGGAGCTCACCCGTCGCTACACCTTGGTGAATTTGAAGAAGCACCGGCTCTGGGTCTCCGACGGCTCACGAGCTCTGGAGCTGCCTCCGGGAGAGCCCAAGGCGTATCATCCCAACAATGGCGATGCGGAGTTCCACCTGGACCTCAGTGCCTTGCGGTGAACTACTGCGAACAACAAATGACTGAAAAAGGATGACTGGAAATTATATATATGCACATATGTTTCTATCCTTTTTGGTGGTGGTTGTCATATATAATATACATGCATGCATATATATATATCATGATGATTATACGGACTTAAGCTATGGAGTGGGTGACATTTATCAAGCACACATAAGGCGTCAAGATAACCTATCAAGTATTGCGAGATTTCACACAAATCATCGGAAACGACGGAATATCCGAGAATTTAACCAAAATGGGAACTTGACAAATATCACTGAAAACATGGGACATTTACTGTGCAAGATTCAATTCACTCTGATTGGGCATTTTGATGGAAAACCATCTGAGTGAATGGTTGAAGATTTGCTTGTGAAGTCAAATACCAGATGGAGGATTGGTTATGCAATCGTTGGTGAATGACTAGTTCAACGGGCTGGGATGGATGAGTTGGTGGACTGGTGGGATCTTAGTGGGTTTATTCCCAGCCCAACTTGGGATATTTTCCAACAATCATTGGAATTGGTGGGAAATCATGCATGCCTGGGTGTGGTGGTTGTGTCCCTTGGATTCCCTTGGTAGGGATATATCCTTGGTGACCTTGGTGAGTGTTCCTCAAGAGATCATCCATTCCGAAGCTGAGTTGATTCACCAGCAAGCTTTTGATCATTTCATGGATTCATCACCCAATCATCATATTTCCCAACATATGTCCATCATTCCATCATTCATAGCGCCAGCACAGGTGGTGTTGGCCCGAACAACTTCACCGCAGGTTTCCGTCCCTTGGCCAGAACACCTTAAGTGGCAACTTCTGGAAATTCATGATGATCCATGCAATGTTGGGTTGCACCCTTTCTTTGGATATAGACAAGGGCTGGGAGCGGGCTGGGAGCTGGGATTTCCCATCCGATAGTCTGGAAAAGGTGGTTGGTGTTCCTGGCTTTTGAAACGTTGAAACCTTCGCGCCGGACGCGACCCATGGATATTCTCCACCTCTCCACCTGAAATCGCCGATCAGCCGGCTGATCGGCCTGGAGGCCTCAGCCAACTCTTCAATGTGGATGGCTCCACCTCGGCCCGAAGGGGCAAACTCCAGCTGATGTACATGGTGCCGTTATGGGAGAGATCACCAAGAACCCCATATTTTGGGTTGTTCTGAGTTGGGGTTGTCCAGAAAGACTATAATCATCTATAATATACACTGTATGCACCCCCAGATTGCCATTTGAATGCGGAACATGATTAGAATACATTGGATTTTGGGGTAATTATTTTACCTGACACACCCAAACGGGAATGGCCCAAACCCATTTATTTGTGGATCCACTGCTATACCCAGCAGGGGGTTATGGCTCCAAGCTGTGAACATTGGCACGTCCAGTACTGATCAAGATGCCTACAATCACAAGGATCGTGGAAAGAGAAAATCGATATTATGCCTGTTTGCTGATCGCATTTTTTTTTCTGTGAAAGAGGTACCTGACCAACTTCCACGACTGGAGATACCGATTTTCGAACCAGACTTGTCAACCTTTGTACTTCTAAAAGAACCCTAGCGTGGAATCCTTAATCCCTTCTCGCTTTGCACATCAAAGGTGCTCAAAATCGAATCACGTGTTTAGTCACAGACTACCTGACCTACATTGCCATGGTCAAAGCATTGGATCACATAGCAAAAATTGGAGGGATGGTCATCCCCCCTATAGGGAAAACACATATAGACCATATAGATTATAACTTCAGATTTAATGCCCAGCCCATTCTGGGCATTCCTAACATTCCAATGGGATGACCATCAACGGCGCCATCAGGGCGAAAAATCGCCAGGTGACGGACGACGAGACCCCGCACCGGGGCTCCGTTCAGAGCACCGGCAGCATGGCCTTCTCGGGGCAACGCTGGGGACTCATTGCCGTCGAAGCCATGGAGGCCACCAGCTGGGATGATCTGTGGGGTTTTGTCTGCGCGTTGGGTGATAGTTGGATCATGTTGGATATACGCACTATCAGGAGTTGGTTGATGATCAGCGCAAATCAGACTTCAGGCTTCAGGGGTTTCCGGAAGGGACAAAAAAGCGTTTTTGCCGCAAATTAAAGCAAGATCGTTCACCACTCACCATTGGCCATTCATCACTGCAGATTTGATTTGCTTGGCTGATCAAGTGATGATCTTCACTCTGACCAATCGTGGCCTGGAAAATCTGAAAGATCAAGCGATTGGATCTAAAAGGTATACGGCGAAAAAAAGGTAGATGTCCCAAAAACGAATGCGAGATTGTGCCCAACATTCACTCAAACATCTTAAGAATCTTTCAAGATCTCACCGACCAAAACATCCCCATATTTCTTGGGGATCGGATGGGGACTCGATCCCCATCCAAAGCCATCACCAGGACAGCAGTGCGCTGATCTTGCGCTTCTCAGACCCGCTGAAGCCGCAGTTTCGCATGGTGAATCGCTCCAGGTGTTCCGTGGCCTTTCGCCAGGAGGGCTGCAGCCCAGCAGTAGATCCTTCAGGGACAGATCTCTTGGGGATTGAACCACGGAGATTGAACCAACGACCCAGTAAGAATGAGGATACTGCCCCCTGGTGGAATCTTGTGGACCAGTTATAGGGGCCACAAAAAATGGCCGACCCATGGCGATAGTTGCCGCAATGTAGGGAAACCATCGACCTGTATATGATCTACAGAATCCAAGGAATGTGATCTGGTGTAGAGATAGTGCACATGATATGGACATACATGGGATACTGATGTTTCACAAACTATATCACCTTGTGCACAGACACATGTTGTGATACTGTATGATACTGTCTATAGATGTGCAGCATGTGCTCAAATTCAGGAGGGCGGATGCAAAGATGCATTATATTATATGTATATAATTGTATATACATACTGTATATATATACTGTACATATTGTACACATGCATGTTTACACTATCCAAAAACAAGATATGATCTCATGGCAGATGAAGATGAACATCATTTTCTCTCCATGTGGATTTCTGCCAAAAAGTTGGGTCCAGATATTCCCAAGAAAGGCTATGGTCATTCCTACCATCTGGTTATGACTAACAGTTCGCCATGGTATAGATGACCCATAGAAATAGATGGTTTACCTATTAAAAATGGTGATTTTCCATGGCTATGTTAAACAACCAGAGGGTAGATGCATCCCCCATAGGAATTTGTTGCAATCTTATGCAATCTTGACCCCAACTATGGACCAATCCGTGGCCTCGCATGCGGAGAGGACCATGCTTCAGCTCCCTTCTTCTACTTGCCGGCTGAAGGCAGGGTTTCAATAAGTGGACCCATCCAAGCAAACAATTCAGAAACTAGAAATTTGGAGCACCCGAAGTCTGTTCTTGGCCCACCTTTATGAAACTTGCAGCAAACGCAACAATTTGGATGCTTGGAACATGAAAAACAACATCATGTCCCTGGTTTTTGCACGTGGACGTCCAGTGAAACCAGCTGTTTTACCTCCTGTAATTAAAACACCAGAATTTCACCAGAGAGTTATCCATGAAGAATCCATTTAAGTGGATTATAATATGATTACAGTCAGATTAATCCAACTACCAAACATTTTTCTTCGCGACGCTCAGGCGTTCTGAACTTCGCCTGGTACTCACCGCCCTCCTTCCGGTCCGCTGCAGTGGCGCCGGAGAATGTGCCGTTGGCGAAGGGGGGACTGAAGCAACAAATGTGGGATTTGAGCGCCGAAACACCTTCACATGGCAGATTTATGGCAGATTTACGGCAGATTTATGGCAGATTTATGGCAGATCTAAGATGATTAAGATGATGAAAGCAACAGAAGGTTTTAATAGGCTTTAACTTGAGCAGCAAAACCAGTGGGACTTCCTTTTCATGGGCGATTTAGGCAGCAAAAATACGAGTCTCAAGCCATCCAGGGGGATATAATGAGAAGATTAGATACAAGGATGGAATACAGAATCAACAATAAGACATGGGTCTCTTGCAATTTAGGCTTAGAAGTTTCTTCCTGGATTAGAGTGAACCGCAATGATGGGAAGTACAAGCGGATCAAGGAATAGCTTGACTTCAGAGAAGAAACACCTTAAGGATCCGTCGCAAAATGGATCCATTTGCCACCAATTTATGACAATTGAATGATGGGGAACATGACTTTCCTAATGGGATCTTGGGACAAGTCCATGGTATCCGGGTACGCCGATTGGTGGGTTAATTTGTTGGCTGCAAATTTGAATATATGAATAATACATCATTGTTATTTTTCAGGGTGTGTATAAATATGTATAATATATGATAATATATGTACATATAATGTTCAGACTATGTTCAGTCATGGCTATATGTAGTAAGATCTGTTGTCACTTGGAGTAGTTCACGTTATAGTGGTGACAGCTCAAAGGTGTCCAGCTGGTTCAACAAACTGACTTTGCATTTGCTGCGATCCTGGCCGGTGGGGCTGTGGTGACCTGGGGCCATCCAGACGCTGGTGGTGACAGCTCTGCTGCTGAGGAGCAGTTTGCAAATGTGTAGCAAGATTTGGTGGAATCTTGCACATTCTGATCGCCAGTGTGCTCTTCCACATTGACTTGCTTGCAGATGTGTGGTTTGAACTCCCCAGCACCGCGGAATTGCTCATTTGCTGATGACCACATACTTTGAGGTTTCAATCTAAAGCGGCAGTTCGGCAATTGTAGCGAATAAAGGTGAGTCCAGTTCTCCCTCAAAAGTAGTACTTGTACCAAATGTCATGCGGAACCAATGCTCACAGATCTCAGATTATATATAAAACTATATATATATATATTTATACGTATATATATATGTATATAAATTTATATACACAATATTATACAATATATATATATACTATATATATATATACTATATATATGATATTATAGTTATGTAATACAATACAACTATCATACAACTGGTAATAGGATGTAATAGGTAGATTCGATATCCCTACAAGCTGTTTATTTTTTGGATCAACTTATTACGTCGAGGAGTTCTTCGTCCAAGGTCACTAGCGGCCATCCTGCTCTTCTGCTGGGTCCTGCAGGGGACAATCTGGTCGCTTGGTGAACGTGGGAAAATCCCTGGAGCTTGGGAAAACTTGGGACTTACCCTCTGGTTATGACTAACAGTTCGCCATGGTTAAGCCATGGCCCATAGAAATAGATGGTTCACCTATTAATAGCATGGTGATTTTCCATGGCTATGTTAAATAAACAGATGGTAACTATGAAACTGGAATTCAGTTGTTGATATACTCTCAAAACTTGAATTGTATTAACTAATAACATTTGAATTCCATGATCAAAAGGATTTTTTATCATCCCAGTAACCAACCATTTGGGGGTCATTACTTGCATCATCCAACAGAACTGGGGTATTCCGAATTCTCAATTTCATACCCCAATTGGAGGATGGTTATTGAATATTGGGCATTCTTCAATAAGTTTTTCAATAACCATTGGGTAATAACTATTGGCAACTATTGAATAACCCTTGAAACAATTGGTTCTGAGATTTTCAGATTCCAAGTTTTTTCAACTTCCAGATCGACGCCCCCAAAATCCATCCGGGACAAGCCCCAGAGCTATGGCTTGGCGTGAAACACATCCTAGCAGCACCCCGAGCCAATGATGGTTGATGATTAGTAATCAATCATATGGGGTTGTATCGAGTACCGTTGAGTACCGTGTTTCACATTACGTAACTGCTCTTCTGATTAGATGGGACCAGTAGCATCATGTAGCATCCAATCTGCTTTTACGAGGATTAAATAGGATTACTATCATTCAATCGATCCTTTCTGTGAAGATTTATTGTCAACGGCAGGAGTTGACACCGCCGCCCGACAGGAAAACGAGGAAGACCTACAAAAACTCACCCTGCATCGTTCCTTGGCAATACAATGACTTGGACTGTTTTGACCCTTCTCAGGGTTCAATTGACTGTCAAAGTATGCACCATTCTGCGAGCTGAGATAATGTAATGTTTTGCCAATTGGATACAATCATGTCCCATACCTGTCAAGACGCTTTTACCGCTATCAATGTTGGGTGTCAATTGAAATTAAATATCGCCTGCATACGTGGATTGAACCCTGCTTCATTTTGGACCCACGTTTCACAGATCGAAACGAAATTTTGCAAACCAAATCCAGTGAAACATCAACAGCAGGGCCAAATTACTGCCTGAACAAGCCTGTCATAGTAGAACGAACATGAACGAACTCTAGACCCCAAAAGTCCCAAAAATTGATGGACAAAAACTGCAAGGAATCCCCCGTTATCTCGATGGGATCTTCCCTCAAACGATGGAGAACTTTCCCAGGCTATGACATCGCGCAAGTGCGAGAGCATGCGCAACTGGAGTGCCTGGGTTTAGCAACTGGAGTGGCATGGAAAGTGATGGCCCAGCTGACACGGTATGGCATGGCATGATATGGCATATGGATGTATAATGATGTATATAGTATGGTCTCCTTCCTCTGCCTGCAAGATATAAAGACATTATGGTTGCAGCCATAGGAATTGCAACGTTGGAAGCCTTCAAAGCACCCCGAATCAAGTCTTCCATCCCAGCGGCCGGATGAGGTTCCCTTCAGCCAGGGAGCTGAAAAGCACCAGTCGCATGAGCCAAACGGTGTCCAAGCGCTTGACCCGGATGACCCATCGCATGACCACGCGATTGATGGTGCCAGCTGGATTGCCAGATGTCTACAAGGCGGAAATGGCATGGCGGGATTTCTGATGAAAATTGATGATGAATTCAGTTGGACACAGGATGACCAATGGATGACGATATTTTTCGACTGGCTGGGTAAGATCACAGCTGTGTATCTAGCATAATTCTGGATATTACCAGCAGAAAGTGCTGTATCGATTTGATTTTGCGCTGCGTCGCAACCCCTACCATGATCACCCCAACCGTCTCTGGAACGATCGCAGGTGCGGACCACTGTGCATCAAGGCAGTTTGGAAGTTCACATCTTCCCGTGGGTCAGAGTGAGTGGCGCAGCAGCAGATGTTTCGACAGATGGGAACTGGGGCCATGCTCAAGATTCTCGATGATCTGCTTATGTAGATGGATCACATTTTTTGGGGCAAATGTTGGGAAATAGTCTCCATGGATATGCATGGAGCATGGCATCTATGGGAAGGGCTTTATTGAAGCCAGGCGATGACATCAAGCTTTGGGGTTCCCGAGGTCTCAATTCATTCCTATCATCTCCATTTTTCAACGTTCATAGAGGTGTCCCCCAAAAGAAGAAAAACAAAAAATGAATTGAATAGATAGAAGATGATGGCAGATGGATTCCACTATTTTTGATCTCTGTTGATCTACTTTCTTTTTTTGAGGGAGCCCCACGGTCAACGACTTGACCAATATTCCAAATGTGTAATACACATGAGCCGATGGAACTGGTTCAGCAGGGAATATGCCATGGAATGGGAATGGGATGGGTCAAACGGAAGTGGTCTCAACTCTGATCAATCAAGATTGGGTGGTCAACGAAAGAGGACCTACCATTCTGCTGGTCGTTTCAAATCTATAATTTGAGCCAATCATAGTCATTCTATCTTAACCCTATTTTAACCACTCAAAATTAGCGCATCACCGCTGAATCATAGCTCCACGTGCACGTCTCTGTGTCGCCGCCGCTGGCCACGGCTTAGGCAACCAGACCTCTTGGCAGGTCACCGTGCGAGCAGATAGCACGGATGAGGGTGACTTGGTGTTTGAAGCCTTGGTGCCCCGAAGAATTGGCATTTAGAGTGGTTATTCTATGGTTAGTTTATGGTTAACAATGATTACCATCTGGTTATTTAACATAGCCATGGAAAATCACCATGTTTAATAGGTAAACCATCTATAAATGGGCCATTTTCCATGGCTATGCTAAATAACCAGAGGGTAATCTAGGCTGATTATATGAGTAACTGACAAAATTATTGTAATACTAATTTAGTCTTTGCTTCGCCTTGGCCTTTCCGAGGTTGCACAAAACCTTCATAATTCATAACCGATAGGGGACGACCCTATACCGATACCCCATTTGTGATACTTCCGGGAATACTGAAATCCTCATAACCGAAAGGGGACGACCCTAATTTGTGCATGGCATTCAATTTAACATATAATTTTGTCCGCTACTCTTGTGATGGTCAATAGTTAGTGGATCATCGATGGTTGACAATGGATGATTGCTGCATTGGATGATGATCGCTGTGGACTATTGGGATATTCTTGGATTAAACATGGTGGATTATGGATAATTATGGATACATTGGTATGGATTGGGATATATTACATTGGTATGATTACTGTACATGGATAATGATTGATGTATAATGATCAGTGGGATATGCTTGGGATACATTGCTATGGCAAACCCAAAAGCTGATCATCCCACCATCCAACCATCCAACCATCCCTAAGGCCTCCTGATCATGACATCAATGTGTGGATATTCACCAACAAACAGGCGGATAAACCGGATAAACCCAGCAGCTGGGGATATCATGACCAAAAAAACGGGTTCAAGCACCAACGACATGTTCCAGTTCGTAGTCTCCATCAATAAATCGTAACATGTCTTGGATGGGTGGCTTAGCTTCCCCAGATTATACAATTTGCAAAGTTGAACCAACGACAATGAGGGTTCTTGTAGAAGCAACAGGCATTGGCATTGGGGAAGTTCAGGTACTCATAACAACCATGAGGACATAGTCAACAGGAATAGAGATCTGTTACAACCAGCAAGAATTGGGATGTCACCAGTATATG